AACAAAAACCCAGTAGTACTTTGCCCGACCCGGGAATCGAACCCGAAGCAGTCACACTTGCGACCACTTGGCCAACGAGGCAGTACTTAAGCGAGCCTCTGATTAGATAAATTTAACCAAAATTAGTTAAAGGATGATAAGATAATACTGTTTTAACTGTGGGTAGTGTGTACGTATCAGTAGCTTTCAATTACTTGTATTATTTTTTTTTTTTTAAACTTTGCACCACACTAGGATTTTCTCCTGTGTCGTGGGTGCGTTTACAAACATACAAGTTCACATACACATCTCACCCAGACCCGGAACAACCATCTGTGGATCACACAAAGAGTTGTTCCTTGCGAGAATCGAACCCGCGACACTACGCGTGGCAGCCAGTTGCCCAACCACCGCGCCAACCGTGCAGTCAATTTCATTTGTGGTAGATAATTTTCTGGAAATATGTATCTTTTAGATTTTTTCTATAATTAGGTCTGAGAATGTTATTTAGCTTGAATATAATAATTTAACCAAATATAAGTTTCAACATAACATAACATCACGCCTTTTTTCCCCGAAGGGTCACTGTACAATGTAACACCCACTTTTCACTATTTATGTTATGTAACTCATCTAATAGGGAGCCTATTGCCATATACCGGACATAATCCCAGAGAACAGAGAATTTTTATTTTTTTAAAATCCAGTTGCAATTTACCCGACCCGGTATCGACCCGAGACCCCTTGCCCGGCAGTCCCACTTACGACCACTCTGCCAACGAGGCAGCATAAGTTTCAGTTGCTCTAGTATTAAAGATAATTTTGTAAAATAACTCAATAATAAAATTACGTATATCTAAACGTAAAAACTCTTAACTAAGTACTGTATATAGTCTATATACAGTACTTAGTTATAACTCAAGAACGCCTCAATCGATTTAGATGAAAATTGGTAGGGATGTACCTTAGAACCAGGAGACGGACATAGGATACTTTTTATACAATACTTTTTTTTACTTTTTACTGAAAATCACGAACGGGAACGGGGGAAAATGGGATTGCGCGTACGAAGTCGCGGGCAGAAGCTAGTAGAGTATAATGAAATAAAACAAAAAAAGATTATGAAAGAAACATTTTATTTTTTTATAGTTTTTCACTAACAGTGCATTCACAGTTAAAGTTTCTTACGGCAAGAAACTGTTATTAAAAATAATAGGAAAACAAAGGATACACGTTCGAAATAGCGTGAAATATAAATAGCTTACAATAGTTGTGAAATATATATAGTTTTTCTCTAATTCCATTAGACTTAAAGATTCGTGATTATTATCCTCTACAGAAGGCCGTGTTCTTAGGCATATAACAATAGTTTTTTAATCATAATATAATTATGTAAATTACGAAATAATGAATCCTCTTACTTGCACATAGATTAACTACAAGATTTACATTTATAAGACAGAGTAAAAGTTATAAGTTTATATTTAATATAGTATATGTTATATAAGCCTATATATATGTTATATGAATTTGGTTATTATATGAAGATATAATATATATATACAGGTAATGAGATATTTTCTAGCAAATGTTTAGCAAGACTAGTACAAGTCTCATTTTAAGCTAGTCTTAAAGTAGGTACACTAGTTTTTGTTCGAAATAACAGAGTATATGACTTAAATGTGAAGAATAGTACTAAAACATCATTTTGTTTTCAAAGTAAATACAATTGAAATCTTTCTCTTTTAAAAGGTTTCCAAAAGGTCAGTCGACTAGCTTCAAGCCACATACTGAGAGCCAGCGTAGGCCGCGTGACATTCAACGTTTTGTCTCACATGGGACTCTTGATTAAGGGCCCAGTGTTGGCTTGAAACTAGTCGAACAGTTACGAAAGAAGCCAGCAGTCATAATCTAAAACTCACAATTTTTATTTGAGGTAATTTAAATACAATATAATGCAGATTTTGTCTCCCGTGAATTGAATCTTCATTCATTATATTAAAATGGTTGTGTTAAGATAAACAAATGTTCATTTCACAAAGAATACTATTTTTATAGAGTATAATTTCCAAGTTTTTGTTCGCAACAGTGAACAATAACAATATTAATTAAAAGTTGCATTTTCCAACTGTTTGTAAAAATAACATGAAATAAAGTGCTTTCAGTTTTATTATTATACGGTCTTCTATAACAATAAAAGCATTTTATTTAATTATTATTCTACAAAAACAAAAAAATATGGCATCCTTATTCATATTTCGTTTTATATTTAATATTCAAATTGTTAATGAACAAAAATTAACCTCTTTCTGAATACGTCATCATCACCTGAAGGCATAATCACACTAGTGACTTATAAATAAAGACATAATCAACCTTACCATTACTCTGCAATAATAATTATGTCGCGCTGACGCTCACGCTGCGTTGACGCTGCGAGCAAGACGCTCCATAACTTACCTGCCTCTTAAACAAATGACATTTAATGGTTCATAATGGATTGGTAATACATAGAAGATTTTTCAAGCCTTTCTATATATCGCGTAGACAATATGTGTTTTAATGCTATTCATCTAGAAGAGTTGTCAGTCAGTCGGTGGCGTTTTTGCCACGATTTCAGAGCGGTTACGCGCCAATATGTTGGTCTTTTATTTCTTTTATATGTCACTAGTGTGATGTATCCCATACAAGTGTGATAATTTCTGTTATGTGATAGTTCTTGCATATTTGAACTAAATACTGACTGCTCTATTAATCTTAATTCGGAGATAGATAAAAATGCATATTAATGTTATTGTCTATTAAAGTAAGTAGACTCTATTATTTTATTATTATAAATTATTCTCTAAAACTATTATGACAATTACCTACTAGTCAAAAAGATATATTATTGTATATAACTCTGCAATGACAATTTAAAAGAGCTATATAGGTATATTTATTTCAACGTAGGTAGTTTAAAGATTTATCAGAATGTATTTTAAAAGTTGATTGCTAATGAACTAAAACAAATAATTTTGTAGCTAAATAAACCTGTATCGATCCTGGTATCGATGGATTGATCCTGAATAACTTGTTATATATATATATATATTTTAACATATTTTGTCATATGCAGAGTTATATATCATTTATATAACAGAACATTAAAATTACTTACAATTAGTGACTAGATGACAACGTTAAAAGTAACCTATGCGATATGTGACGCAAACACTTTCAAGCATAGCAATATGAACTTTATCTTAACAAACAAACGGTTTATTTTACATAATTTAATCTAATACACTAAATCACAACACTGCAAAAATTTAAACGTTTTTTTTTTTAATGTGGAATGTTTATGGCTATAAATATTATAGAATACTGAGTACATATATAGCCTGTGAGTATACTTTGAGAATATCTAGAAATTTGTAGAATATTTTATACATATCATGGTGTTATATGGCATAAAGTTAAAGGTATATAAATTATGACATTACAAATTGGTCATATTATGGCGTTTACAATGAGAACCAACCATTCAATGTTTTGATAGTTTACATAATTATCATTAAGCGTCTAAATAGTGTTGACTTACGAAGTTATTTAGATATAATTCGAACCTATTTATTTGGTTCTTCGGTTCTTAAAATGAGTCCTAATTTACCCGTAATCTTGAACGCAGTGTTTCAGCTTTTGATAAAGATATGAAAACCAATAATTTTATTTATTTATTTAATTAATTACAATACCTAACAGTATTCAAGGTACGCAGTAAGCACATTAACTATTTTAGAACATACGCTTTTTTGTAAGTATGTATAGTGTTCAGAAGTTTAATATACAATTTTTACTTATCACTATATTACAATAATAAATATTACAAAATAAAATATAGGTAGTATAAAAAGGTTTTTGTCGATAATCTTAGCATCGAGATAGGTACTAAGAAAACAATTCATAATTTGAAAGAAAAACAAAATGGCGAACACTGAAAAACCGTTAGCATTATTCGAAATTAGAAACGATAGATGTAAATTGAATTTAGAATCTAACATCGCTACAAATCATAAAACAAACTGTATTTTTTAAACAAGCCTATTAATATTACCAAGCCAAAAAATACTACAATAATCGGAAAAAATGCTACAAATATCTGTTGCTACTATTTTCTATTACGAATTCAATCTTTATATTTTATGTACTTATAATGTTTTTTTTCTATTATATGTAATTTGAACGAGTTATATCTAGAAGCAAAACACGTATTTATTATACAATTATTTTTATCTACAGCGTCGCATTACTATCTATGTAAGTCGTAATTATCCCAGGTTCAAATGTATGTACATATTTCTTAAGATTATATAGTAAAGCTTCACACAGATCACTATAAATTACTTCTATATGAAAATGTGTTGGTACAAATATGAAATAGTTATGTGAACTACGGATTATATGAGTTGGGTCTAAACCGTCTTGGGATTTATATTAAAAAACCTCTACTTTGGATAACAAAATCACTTTTTATACATATAAAATAGAAAGAAAACCGAACTGACCGAAATATTACTTAAACTTTTAGACCTACGGAATACCGGTTCAAGCTTTAAAACGAATCACAAATCTAGAAAAATACATTTTCATCTGCGACAGACATTTTGTTTTCCAAAAGCATAAAGAGAAAATAAATATAAGAGATACACATCTAAATACCTAACAATATTAACAGGTACAGATTCCAAAATTATTTTAATACACAGAAACATTCCAATAATGTCACTATTAGTGAATAAAATGCGCTATACATCATTCATAAATATGTACGCAATATCATCATAATAATTATTATTTAGTACTAAATTACAGCTATAAGAAAAGCAATCAGTTTCAACAACATAGCCACAAAATTCTTAACTAACGACGTCAAAGGAAAAACGCTTAAAACACTAAGAGTATTAAAACATTTAAGTGTCATTTTTACATGAAACAAATTCTTGAACAAAGCGATTTATGAGAAAAGTATTTACAATTTTATTATAGTCTGTTTTGATTTTTGGAATTTTAGTTCTGAGATTCAGTTGCTCCACTGGATTCATCGTTTTCTATGTCATCTGGTTTGGTTTGACCAATGTTGAAATCTTTCAAGGCATCCTGTATATGCTTGACCTGTCGAAAAAAAATCCACGTCACGATATCGAACTTTAATTCTCACTCGGACAAAAATTCGTAAACAACCCGAAAAGTTTGTATACAAAACAAAAAAAAAATATACGACCACAAACCATCCGAGGATATCAAAGATTCATAGAAAAATATAAAAGTTTCGGCTATATTGGTTGTTCGAAATAAGGAAGTTGTCGATATAGAAAAAGCGGTGTCTGACTTTGATGGACTCAAAAAAGTTGTTTGTTCGTATTCAATCTAATAAACCCTTCGGAATTATTTTTGGTACATACTTTTGGACAAACAAAAAAATTCTAATAAAAAAACATTATGTGGTCCATTTTATTTATGGATCCGGCCTTATTCGGGTTACTTTATTAACTTGATTATTGATTTCCTATAGAAACTATTTATCACATCGCATTGTCTCAAAAGAAAAGTACAACTGAAAATTATTTCAAATGTTATCTTTCTGTAAATAAATAATCTTCATAAGTTAAACTCAAAAACTACGTTCATTATTGTAGCATTTACTATCTACATTAAAAAAAAAACTTAAATTTACGACTAGCAAGTGTGTCACATCCCTATTAAAAATTGAATGTAAGAAACAACATGGCGACAGCGTCATAATGATGCAGCAATCTACCGCAAAGCTCATAATTATAAAACCTCTGACTTATTCAATATTTTTTTATATTTTTCCTTCAACTTTCACCTTTTTGCTACTTTTTTTTTGATATAAAACCTCTTTGTCACAGCCCTAACCTTTTCGTGCCAAGGCTATTTACACTGTTGTAAAGTTTAGAATTAAGAACAACATTGACTGAGTGACTAACAGAAATTAGTTTTAAATTATTTCTTAATATTCAAAGTGTAGACTAGAATTGTGTAGGAATAATTAGGGCACCACTTAATAGAACTTTTGGTTGACTTCTAGCGTCAAATATTTGGACAAACACTAATTTAATTTAGCCTGGTGATAGACTAGTAGTTAAACGAAATTGGTTGTTACTTGAAATTGGTTTTCGAAGAGTCAAATCGTTTGAACCTAGTGTTAGGTCACGATCGAGTCTTAATTTAGTTACCAGGTCACAATTTAAGGAAAACACGTTAAAAGTCAGAATAATAAATTAGGTTATTCATTTAATAACCAATTTGACATAAAATTTAACGTAAAAGTTGAAATAGGTGTCGAAAAAGTATGTATAGATGCTGTTTAAAAATAAAAAGGTACATTAAAAAAACTGTATTTGGCTGTTAGACTACTAACCGAATTAAACAGAACTGTAGATGTAATTATCACTATTATAAATACAAAAACTATCTATCTATAAAAAAATCATAAAGTTAAAAAAGGGATAAAAACTCACCTGGGAGGCGGCAGGGTCGGTGCCCGGGTGTAAATACTTGTGAAGAAAATAACATGTTCCCGGGATGTCCTTTGGGAACGAATTTGGTAGACACGAACGATCCCGGGGCTCCATCTCAAAGCCCGGGAATTTTATTAGCCACCTGTCAAAATTGTTGATTTAAGAAAATTGGGGAAATGGGGACTAAGCATCTGTTATGTAGGTTATCGGGGAGCTTTTTGAAAAATGTCTGACGTAAAAAACGAGGGTTATATTTTTGGGAGTGGACTACGCATGAGACCCTATTTTTTATTAGATCGAATAAAACAGCTGTATGAAGTTTTAAGATTCCTCACTTTAAAATTGCCAGTAAGTAGTACTTCAATGGCTATATTAATTTCATTTATGAATAGAATTTCTGTACTAATTAAACAATATTATCACAATATTTTTGTAAGCATTTTTTCTAAATTATATTTCTGCTTATTCTTTTAATGACAACAGTTTTTAAATGAGTCTATTTTTAATTCAGTAGAAACTAAATAATTAATGTCTAATTAAAATTAAACTGTCAAACACCGTGAGGACACCGGTGATGCGGTCACCGGTTGTTCTTTAAATGTTTCTATAATGACGGTACTCAAAGAGTTAATGATCTGCGTTAACTATGAAAACCAAACCTCCGATTAAAATACAACAAGAAACTCCACTTCAATCAAAAAACGAAAAGGCAAAGTTTACAGTTTCATATCGTATATTTCATAGCCACATATAAAACCATTAAAATATGTGCCACTTTGGTCATAAAGCGCACCCTTTCACGCCAAAACTAATGGATCACAACGGAAACTTTACCCAGAATTTTATCTAGTAAAAGCCTTTAGTGACAGCACTTTAGCTATTTTGTTTTTGGCTAGACTTGACCTAATTGCTTTTTTGTATATTCTAAGTTTTTGACATAAACACGGCCTCTGTATAACGTTGTTTTAATAGGGGAGAGGTTATACTTAGTAGGTACAGAGACTTTTTTGCTTTACTGAATAACTAATTAAATAAGCACAATTTTAACGGCGTAGAAAGCAGAACTTAAATAATATGAATTCAACACCATTTAACAGTAGTATGTAGTACTTAAGTATTATTATGAAGTATGATTTAAAGAAAGAAAGAATGGAAACATTTATTCAGCAACAGCATCAATAAAAGATAGTGTGACAGGGAAATAAGATGAACAGTGAATTTAAAAAAATTAAAACAGAAGAATCAGGAAAGAAACGCTAACAACATGCCTATGCTAAATAATAATTGATTGCATAATGACAATGTTGTGCCAAACTAAATTATTTATCGTTACCAGATGTTTACTAAATTTTAATACGAAGTTTGGAATATTAAGCTCAGTATCTGATCAAAGGCATTACTCAAACAGACCAGTTGAACCTAAGAAATACTGCAAATACACTACAATAGGGTAGATGACTAATTTTTATTTTAATGTCCGTCTGGTAGATTATTTTAAAACATTAGGGTGCTCACCAGGAGCATTCGCGTGTAATATCATGGGGGAAAATCATCGAATGACTGCTCCCGCCTAGGTAAGGCGGGAGGGAGTGTCTGACTCTTACTGACTAAAAACCACCCCGTTCCTTCTTCTGCACGTCGAGCCGGAGCCCTGGTAACCCGTTAGATTCTAGTATAGGATAGTATATGTAGGGAGCACCTTTACACGTATTTTTATTTTTTTACAGAAGCCAATACAATACCTTTCGACGATATATTCAAATATCGCGACGTCACTTCTATAGCCGTTTTATAAGTAGAAATGACGTTTTAGCTCCCACTTCTAAACTTTGATTCGTTTTATCTCAGTATGTAGCCTTATACAACAAAATAAAAAATGATGTGTCTAATATATATTTATTATCTGATCGATGAACAAATTAGATTTATAATGATCATAGTCCGTCATCAACCCTACTCCAGGCAATGAGAACAATTCTATAGACTATTGTAAAGCACCAATCTGGCTTTCCAAGATTCGAAGCTTGAGGTATCTCCCATTCAATAGAATTCCATTTCATCTGAATGAACTAGCATTTGGATTGGACTAATATTTAGGTAGATTGGACACTGGATACTACACTATTTTGTAATAGTAATGGATCGTTAGTCTAAATCTCTTTGTGTTCTAGGTACTGAAGAAATCTTTTGATGGTGACTGTTTTCTGTTTATTAATTACTAGCCGCGGCTTCGCTCGCATCACAAAAGTATATAAAGTAGCCTATGTGACATATACCAATACACACAGCGCCAACTATACCAATACTTTTGTTTTTCCTCGGGAATATCTATTTTTTCCGGGTTAAAAAGTACCCTATTATTTAATCCGGACTTCTAACTTTACGTCTGCAAAAATTCAAAGCAATCGGATGAGTAGTTACGGCGTGAAGGTGGAACAAACAAACAAACTCACTTTCAGATTTATAATAAGGATGCAAAAATGTTTATGGATAAATTTAGCTATGGCTCTAACTCAATGTATGGCAAAATTATACCCTTTTAGGTAATACCAAGTAACGTGTATAATGTAAAACGATTCTATTTATTTACTAGTAAAGATACGTTTTGAAAAGTATTGTGAAAATAGCATGAAGCATTTACGGCATGAAACAGTTTATTCCTAATACTTCTTTAATAAACTACAATTAACAAAAACCCATTTTCAATTCCGTCTTTTTTTGAAGTCGATATACTAAAACCTCCTTCTAACTGTAACTACAATACTAAAAAACTACTACTAAAAATATTTTTCTGAAAACCGCATCAAAATCAGCTCAGCCAATTGCGAGACAATCTCGCACAAACAAATATACCTACATAAATAGAGGCCAAACCTCCTATTATTGTAATCGGTTAAAAGTCTCAGCTCTATCAAGTACATAATACTAATATTAAACTGTCAAACACCGCGAAGACACCGGTGACCGCAACTTATTGTTCTTTAATTGTGTCTATAATGACGGTACTCAAAGGGTTAAATTAAGCACCAAAATTAAAATAATTAAAAACTTACTCATAAGTAGTCGGACTGACGTTGATCTTCAAAGGTTCAGAGCCGGACTCGAACTTGTTGGCAAGCGTGACATTGTGTCCGAATAGACAGTACTTCAACATAGTCTTCCCGACCACTCCAGCTAGTACCGTCCCAGTGTGAAGGCCTATGCGCATCTAGAAGGAGAAAAAAACACATAGCCTAATAAATAATGAGATATTTGAGTTGTGAATAAAATAAGTTAATGTAAATTGATTTTTTTTTTTAAGGGGGGAAAATCATCGAATGACTGCTCCCGCCTGGGTGAGGCGGAAGGGAGTGTCAGACTCTTACTGACTAAAAACCACCCCGTTCCTTCTCCTGCACGTCGAGCCGGAGCCCCGGTTACCCGTTAGGTTCTCTTGGTATTAGGACCACATTTTTAAGGTTTAAGTTTTGGCAAAATCACACTTTCGCAAAATTCGAACAAAAATAAATATAAATAGCATAATTGGGTAGTGTCCAGGGTACTAAAATAAAAAATCTAATTAGTCCGTCAGTTAGATAATGAAAAAATATTAGACACGTATTGTTTTTTATTTTCTCATATTAAGTTGCAATACTTAGATAAAATGGCGATAAGTTTAGGAGTGGGAGGTCGTTACGTCATAACGTGCTACAAAATGTGGCACGCTGTGATGCCACACGATATTTCAAATTAATATAGATTCAAAAGTATTTAATTTTATGAGAAAAGAAAAAATACGTGTCTAAAGTTTTAAATTAATGTACCAGACGGACATTAAAATAAAATTTAGGAATCTACCCTATTCTATAGAAACAAAATAAAATTCCAAAGTGCAAGTGAGAATCTGCTCTATAGCAAAGATTCATATAAAAAGAATGAACAAAAATTATAAGACTCTAGAATAACTATTTCAGTATATAATAAGGGCAAGAAAAGTACCAACGTAATTAAGAAAATAATTACAGAATAGTGTGAAACTATAAAGTCTGTGGCTATGTGCTGACTTAACCTACTTCCCTCAAAGAACCAACAACTTGCCTCAGAATGTAAACAACTGCGTTTACCTTAAACTCATTAAGGAGGTCGCAGAGGTTAATCAAAGTTTTATACACATCTAACAATCTGCTCATGTTTGTGTAGCTAAAATTATAAAGTCAAAGTCAAAATCATTTATTTCAATTAGATAGACCACTTTTGAACGTTAAAACAAAATATTGAAATATTAAATAAATGTCCAGTCATTTAGCAAATAGATTCACTATTTGCTCGTTTCATAGTTAAAAACTCTTTATTTACATTAATAATAAATTTAATTTACATTAATAGGAAACTATTTACAACTTAAAAATATACAAAGTGTAGATTTGTATTGAGAAGAACGAGCAAGAAATTTTATAGGTTATTCTTTTTCACAAACGTGATTTTTTTTTTTTAAGGGGGGAAAATCATCGAATGACTGCTCCCGCCTGGGTGAGGCGGAAGGGAGTGTCAGACTCTTACTGACTAAAAACCACCCCGTTCCTTCTCCTGCACGTCGAGCCGGAGCCCCGGTTACCCGTTAGGTTCTCCGCGATTTCACAAACGTGACCTATGTGAGAACAAAGTAACACTAATATTCAGTCAAGGAAAAAGAAAATAACGTTGAGGACAACAAATTTACTACAGTTTAAAACTTGTATATGACAAGAACAAGAAATTTTCTAAGTAGTTAACCCTTAACCGGAATCGTGGGTCCGTTCGGACCCGACGTCGATGAAAAAAGCGTTTATTTTCAAAACGCGCGCACCAACACTATTGCGCGGCTACCTAATCTCATTAGGTCGCTAGATGCAGCGGGTGCCGGACACTCGGCGCTTTAAATTCACTGGAAGTGTAAGTTTGAGCCATCGTTGGGTCCGATCGGACCCACGATTCCAGTTACGTTATTTTTTTCAATGTGTTTATATTTGTTATATTATTCTATTAGACACTTTTTTGGAAAAATGGCGCATAAAATGCCGGAAAATATATCCAGGACCTATTGCTAGATGAAATTGAATTAGAATCAGAACTTTTGAGCGATTTCGAACCCTGTGATGAGGAAAATATAGGTGACAATGAAAATCCGGAACATGAAGCCACTGATCACTCAAGTGAGTCGTCGTCTGACCACAATGTCGAAGAAGAAAGTTAGGATGATAGTTCACTGCCGTCTAACACTTACTTCAAAGGAAAAAATAGATATACCTTAGTGTATACCACTTAGACACCACCTAGCAGCTCTAGAATAGTTTGTAGAATTGTACTCTAGAATAGAATAGGTTGTCATTTTTTTTAGTTTAAATTGATCTCACAAATAATTTATTTTTTTGTGAAGGGGAAGACACGGAAAACCCCGTAGAAGTGTTAAAATTGTTTTTTATTTTGTTTTTATTTTTGTTTTAGACGGTCAAAGAAGACATTAACAAAAGATTACTAAATTTAATACCTAAGATATTAAGTACAATAAAAGGGATATTTTCCACATTTTAATGAATAAAAGTTGATTAATATATTACTTAAAACTTGTTTCAATTATGACGTTAACTTACCTAAGTGGAAAATTCATCATTTTAGAAAAAAATAAGGAATTTAATTCTTGGGTCCGATTGGACCCACGATTCCAGTAATGTAGAACATTTTAATGATTCCGGTTAAGGGTTAAGGATCGGCACATTTTTAAATGTGTTTAATATCAATGGTTGTACAAAACACATTATGAGCATACAGATCACTCGATGGTAAGTTGTAGCCACCATTATCTACATATGTAGCTGGAATTACATTATCAGCTTTTTGAATCAATGTACCGATCATGCAAAAATATATATCCGTAGCAAGAACTCATGTACTATATGTAAACGTAGGTACTAACCTTTATGGGGTTTCCTTCGTGCGTTAAATGCTGGGCACAGGTCTCAACCATGCGCAGTGCCATCCAAGCAATCTGTGGCGCATGAGTATCTATCTTACGATGTAATCCACTAGCCACGCAGTATGCATCGCCTATTGTCTCCACCTAGACAAGGAAAATAAAAGTCTAGACAAACAACCTTTAAACAGATAAATACGCAAATCATCTAGACTCAGACCAAAAAGATTTAAATATATGCCAACATTATACAAAACTGAATCCAAACAAACTCATTTCAATAAATTACAAAAGAAAATGTCGACTCAGCACGTCATTTTTCAAAACACATTCTACGATTTTTTCATTAAAAATGCTTTTTTCAACGCAATATATTCCAATTACATTACAAGCTAAATTATCCCCACGACGAGATCATTAATCACGTAGAAAATTAATTATGATCATGTCTTAATTACCATTGTATTAGTATACGGATCACTGCTTTCACTTCGTTTGTATTATTTGATCTACAAAGGCTCTTGTCACTTGATTAAAACGTTGATGTTTTAATTAAAAACGAAAACGATAAGACAGCAGGTGAAGAGACACTTGAAGGTTTATCCTTTTCGAAGAAAATTAGAGGTCCAATTCTTCAGAAGAATGGCTTAATCTTATTGTGGACGTTTTTGATAAGGCATTTAGATTAGAAATTCCGAAAAATCTTGACTTAAAACCTGTTTGTTTATTACAACACAAAAAGACTTTTAAAACAAATGAATGAACAAACGTCCAAAGAGTCAAGTATTCTGTTTTGTTAAAGCAAAATTCAATTCTAATAGTTGCTAACGTAATTTTGCTCCTTGTTTCAAATTACGAAGCTGTTTAGGTTAATTTGAATATCAAAAGAGAGCTCTTGACTACAAGTTTTTGACATGTAATGTGAGGATAAGGGTTAACATGGCGTGTGTTTAATAAAATTGTTCTACAATAGCAATCTTTAGGTATAGGTCAAAAATTAGCACATACATTTTTTTTATGGCATAAGCCGGTAAACGAGCAGACGGATCACCTGATGGTAAGCAATCGGCGTCGCTCATGGACACTTGGAATACCAGGGGCGTTACAAGTGCGTTACTGGCCTTTTGGGGATTAGGAGTTTCAGGATCGTTGGGGATTCAGGAAATGGGGAGTTTGTGGAAGGGGAGGGTGATTGGGCCTCAAGCCTCCTACATGATGAAGTATCATGACGATGAGATGAGACGTATCACGTCCTGATCTCTGACGATAGTCTTAGAAACGAAACTTATTATTTTTTTTTGTTTTTGTTTTGTTTGTGTTAAAAAACATTGCTCCATTCTAAGATTTTCTCCTGTGTCGTGGGTGCATAATTACAAACATACAAGTTCACATACACATGACACTAGGTCTGGACCTGGAACAACAAGTTGTGGATCACACAAAGAGTTGATCCGTGCGGGAATCGAATCCGCTGTAAGTTACGCGGCAGCTAGTTATTTTTTTAAAAACCCAGTAGGTTATACTTTGCTCGACTCGGGAATCGAACCCGAGACCCCTCGCCCGTCAGTCGAACTTGCGACTGTTTGGTCAACAAGGCAGTATTTTTATATGTGCCAAATAAATACTTATAACCTTTCATTTTTAACTTTAGTTTTTTACGAATAAGCCAATGAAAAAAGAGGCGAAACCTTTTACCTCTTTTTGTGGCTGTGAATCGCACCCCTCTTAAATTTAAAACTTTCTCCCAACTTTGACCCCGGTTTAAACCCTTGCGAAAAACCTTTAACAAAGTTCTGGTCTACATCCCGTGGTTTAGATTGCATTGTCAACCAGTGTTAAAGTTTAATTAGCGAGATAAAAGTGGGCATCAATATCAATTTGTTTCACTTCTCTTTTTCTCCGTATTTCTGTCAGTCTTAATTTCTCTCTTAGTCCCAATTATTACTTAATTTTATTATCATTATCAGTTAGAGCATAGACGGCTTAATGGTAACCAATTAGCGCAGCCCATAACACCCCTCGAGCGTCTTTATGAGCAACCGGTGGATCATAAGAAAAAATGCTCCAAATGTCACGTGTGCACCCGTTGGATCATAAAGAACGCGGACGCTCGACGGGATAATAAATCCTAATTGCTGATCTTTCAGTCCCTATACTTGGCAATTGTCATGCAGATTATTTAACTCATTGAAACGTTTAAAGGACGCTGCTGCACACCCCGTGGTTGCAAATCGCAGGTCCATGTCTTAAACGGGTTCAAGTTAAATGAATACCTATACCAGAACTTGTAGGAGGACTTGACTCTTGTAGGAGAGTCATGCTTCGGCACTAATGGGCCAGCTCGACCGGAGTGATACTACGGCCTTACAGAAAACTGACGTGAAGCAACGCTTGCGTTGTGTTTCGTCGCGTGAGTGAGGTTACCGGAAGCCCAATTACCCTCCCCTTCTCCAATCTCTCCAATCTCTGAATCCCCAACGATCCTTAAACTCCTAATCCCCAAAATGCCGGTAACGTACTTGTAACGACGCCGATTGCTTACCATCAGGTGATCCGTCTGCTCGTTTACCGGCTTATGCCATAAAAAAAGGACTGGGTTCAAATTAAATAAATAGCTAAGGGCTAATTATTCAATGCTTACATAAATTTCAACTCAGGGTTATTTGATAATTCTTCCATACTAAAAACTGTCAACTGTCAATCTTATTCTACAGTTAAGAATTAACTGATGATTGAAAAACCGGCCCTTATGCCTTGTTCGCACTATGCTAGTATTTTAGTCAAGTAGCGAGTATTTATTAATTCCCTCTTGCTTCTGTCCCAAAATCGAAGTGAGAGAGAGTTACTAAATACTTGCTACTTGACAAAAATACTAGCATAGTGCGAACATAGCATTAATGTGTCCGATCACGTACCTTATAAACATCAAGTTCCTCGCAGAAGATATCAAACACGCTGTATAGGTCTTCAAGCATAGCGATCACCATCATAGGGGTAGCAGTAGCACATATTGATGTAAAACCAACTATATCACTGAACAGCATTGTGACGTCATCGTGGCTTTTCGCTTCGATCTTCTCACCTATGAAAAAAGAGATTTTTTTTATATCAAGAAATTGTTAGGGTTGCAGACGGCCTAATGGGTTATTGAGGCACCGCCTCGAAGCAAAAGTAGAAAAACGGAGTGGTATTTTGTTAATAAGAGTTTCACACTGTCTCTCGCCTCATCAAAGGGGGGACAGATTAATTTCCCTGCTCAAAATAAAAAAATATACCCAGCGTATAATTATTATTCACCAGTTATGTCTCTAATCTCATATCGTGGAGATTGTGTCGAATTTATTCACTTCGATTTATCATAGGGTCTGAAAACCTTAAAAGCGCATTCCTAATTCCCTGATCATATTTAAAAACCTGGACAATCAAAGAAATTTTAGATTTATTTGGGTTATTTTTATTCTTGACACCACTTTACAACATAATTTTTGCCAATTAACCTGAAATTTATAACCAAAAATTGACCCAAAAAACGTCCAAACTACCTACCCACCTACCCACATTCTCTAGCTATATTATGCATGCTTTCACGCAAAATGATTAATATCCATCAGAACATAATTTTCATTAATTTATTCAGCGATGCGGTTGTAAACTAAATGGGATTATAAGCGTTGGGCGCACCTGTCTTGTAAAGTGCACACAATTTGTGATTAAACTTAGTAATTAATTTACTGTCTACCATTTACCATTGTTTATTTATTACTCAATTGTGGTTATTGAGGTTGTTGCATGGTGTACTTCTATATTTCTAATTATAACATAGTCACTACAAGCCTTAAAAGTACCCTTAACCGACGAGCATGCATGAAAAGATGGATGACTGTTGATGAAGCGAAAGAGGTATGTAGGAATCGTAGTAATTGGCGTTACATAGTCTCTGCCTACCCCCATGGGTGACAGGCGTGAAGTTATAATTATATGTATGTATGTTGCTACATGCAAAGTGGTTGATTTCTCGATGTAGGAATGGAAATTGATCAATTTCAAATCGTTTCGGGATTGACAATGCCTGTACCTAGAGCTATAATTTACATGGCAAAGTAGGTACTTAATAATAATAAGCTTTAGAAATATATACTAAATTATAAAACCTATTTGTGGTCCTACAAATCTCATATGATTTAAGGTAAAGTTAAAGCCGTAAACTGAAAACAATTCCATTACACAACAGCTAAGAACAAAACCCTAACAACACTTAAAAGCAAATAAACAAGAAATACCAAATTACTCAACACAAATTCTTTACAAAGAAAATAACATTTTCAAAGTATTTCATATCCCTGCCATTGAGTTTGTACGACAATATTGCGTGACAAGACGATGTCACGTCGGCGTGCCGAAACAAATGTCACAAACCGAGACGCTTCAGGTTTACGACTTGTTAAGGGCTTGTGGTATAAAAGGGGCAATCTAAGGTGCTTATGTGTGGTATACTAAAGAATAAAGTTCACCACATAAGGCATTTGAAAGACGTAGAAGCAAGTAAGGATATTGTTGGAGATATATAAAAAGAGGTATTTAGTTCTAATGTTTTTTTAAAGCACGATGCAAATAGGTGGCCAATAAATGCATTTGGAAACATTTCTAAAACTCGATTAGTATTAGTAGTAGGAAAAGTGATTCGATCCAGACTGTAGTATAAAAATCGACAACTGTTAATACCCGTATCACCAAAATAGAGTTTGAAACTAACCGTAGTTCCAAACTCCAAAGACCTACATTAAATCTAGCTAAGTCGTCGTAAAACAAGTTTGAAGGGTAGATACCACATAAAATCAAACAAAACAAACCAATTCAGTTACTTAGTGCCAACTCCAATCTCATTGAGAAGGTCAGGGGAAAGTTATTTTAAGATTTCGTATCCATTCTCAAGCCTGACAACGCAATCAAGCAGACTCAAGTGAACTGCGCCACAAAACAAGTTCGACTCGCTAAATTCCCACTAACGCCTAACTCACTCCAATTCCCCTAAAGGAAACTTTAATCAAACATAGTGCGTACTTAAATTAAACCATACATAAATCAATTTCAAAGTGTAGGAACAGATAATTGACTTACAAACTTACCTAACCACAGTCTCTTGGCTATATGGGGTGGAAATATTAAATGCAGAAGGCTAACATTCTTTTGTCTCTCCTTGTCAACCGCTTTGCTGGCTTCTTCTATTGAGTTCTTCAGCTTATCCATACGTCTGCGGAGTCCGTCCTTTGTGGGATGAAATACGGATTAGTATGCGGTTTTTTATTTACTTTTGTAATGTTTGTTGTATTGTCAAAAACATTTATAATCATTATATCAAAATGTAGAACTAGTTAGTTAAAAAAAGTTTATTTATTGGAATTGATATTATAACAATTCGATTGTATATTTTTGAAATGTTTTTTTACATATACAAAATTCATTTGAGACTTATAATGAACAAGTTGTTTTTTATTTTGTAATTGAACAATTAAAGGTGTTCCCTCACTGGGAGCATTCACGTGTAAAGTAACATTATAGATTCGACTTTGAGCATAACATTACAATAATACCTCCCTGACTAACAAGCATTTGCGTGTAATGTAACAACGAGCATTTGCGTGTAGTGTAACATATTAATTCGACTCTGAGCATTTCATAGCAAGATGTCAGACGAAGCGGGCGGGCGGGGGGCTGGGAGAAGTGGAGCACATAGATGTTACAAGTTGTATCAAGATATTACACATTGTATCATTACAAGGTGCGCATTGTAATGCTCAGTTCTCCTCCTTCACTGATGTAATGCTCAGATATGTAACGTTACATTACACGCGAATGCTCCCGATGAGGGAGCACCTTTAAGCTTACAATGAAATATGTACGAATTCTTTAGAAGTGAAATATAAATTAGTATACAAATGAAGATCTCTGTTGAGTCTTATGATCATGTTACTTTATTCCGCTTTTAAAGTAAAATCAATGATCTCAATGATTTCTTAACCGATACCACTTGATCCATTAACAAGGTCGTCATCGACCCCTTGAACCAAGTTCTAGTCCTCACAAAACACATTTCAAGCACACTGCTGTAGACTATAGACAGAAGCCCTGAAGATGTTCAACAAGTGTCACTTTCAACCGACTCTTTTAAAACTACTTCTAGTTCACAGGTATTTGATATTGTTTGAAAATCGACGAAGAAAATTGTCATATGCACAAGTTTTTCGAAGTTTTCTATTGCTGTTTATAGTTATTTGAAATGATTTAAATTTTGAGTTTGTATTGTTATAAATATGAATGATATAATCAGACTGTTAGTATCTTCGGATTGATAAATATTCAAATTGTCTATTGGCTTTTTTACGTCGTTTCGTTCTTTTTAGAAAACTATAGCAGCTTCTCCTAAGTCAGAAAGGTGTAAACAGTATAAATAAAATCCAGCCTTAAAATAGATGAGTGTTCTTTTAAGAAAAATATTTAACCGACTTCAAAAAAGAAGCAGATACTCAGTTTTTTAATAAAAATTCTCACCTGAGCTCGAGCCTGTTCGCCAACCAGAATTACATCTCTCGTGGCATCATGCAGTGGTATATCTGATATGAAGAGACCCCTGCCAGTGAGACCTTCAAGTCCATCCAGGAATGGAGACCCGACGAACAGGAGAGAGTCTGACTCAGAGCAGAATACCATCTGACCTTTAATCTCCAGACCCTGTCAACAAAAAAAAACATTTAGACGTTAAAAAGTCGCGGAGAACCTAACGGGTAACCGGGGCTCCGGCTCGACGTGCAGGAGAAGGAACGGGGTGGTTTTTAGTCAGTAAGAGGCTAACACATCCCGCCTGACCCAGGCGGGAGCAGACGTTCGATGATTTTCCTCCCTTAAAAAAAATAGACGTTAAGAAGATTTCTATTTAAGCCATCTCACATCTTCTAAGAGAAGGTGTCTATTTAAGAAGACATCATAATCTATTAAGGAACAGTTTTAGCACTAATGGGTCACCACAGAGTCTTAGCAAAGTGGTGAGGGCAGGGTATACATTTGACGTCACAATTAGGGCGAGGCCAAAACACAGCAATACAATGCGATGACGCAACGCAAAAATTTCATCGCATACCGTCAATTCAGTTTCTAGTGACACATGAACCGTACTAAATGGGTCCTACGTTTGCTAGCGGTCCTGAATTAAGGACATCAGGTAATCGATATATCGTAATACGCCATTCAAGAAACACATAGACACTAATTAAAAGGTAGCGCGTCGTCGCATTGCAGATTTGTACGTTGCGTCAGCGCATCGGATATTTCGACGATGCGTTGGGCGGTGTCGTAGATTTCTACGATACGACGCCGCAGCGCAGTATTGTGGGCTCGCCCTTCCTCTTACTGCGAGTCTCCTAAGACCCGAGTATCGAAATAGACATTTGTCTTGACAAAGACAGAAGCTAAGCTTCTGTCTCAAACTCACATCAAGCAGCAGATTATTGTACCTGTTTAGTGGGGCATATGTCCAAATACTCAACGCCACTAAATTTTAAGATTCTTTGTAAAATGACAGAGATGGCACGATATTTAAATACAATTTAAAATTGAGTAGCCTTTCAGTATTCGGGCGATAGACTGTAACGGGTTGTTGGTGAAGATGTGTAAATATTTATTTACACGTTAAACGCCATGGCAGTCACCGGTGACCGACATTAGCGGAGGATTTGCCTTCAACAGTTTTTTATTGGCAGCCAATGCCTTAAGGAAATTAAAAGACGCGTCCATCCACATAATTATTCTTTGGTGTGCGAAGACGACAAAACTTAATATAGAGGTATATTTTTTTTATTGGATAAGCCTGTAAACGAGCAGACGGATCACCTGGTGGTAAGCAATCAGCGTCGCACATGGGCAACTGGAACACCAGAGGCGTTACAAATGCGTTACCGGCCTTTAAAGGATTATGAATTTGAGAATTGTTAAGGATTCAGGAATTGGAGAGATTGGAGAAGGGAGTAATTGGGACTCCGGTACCCTCACTTACACGACGATACACAACGCAAGCGTTGTTTCAAATCGGTTTTCTATGAGGCCATGGTATCACTCCGGTCGAGCCGACCCATTCGTGCCAAAGCATGGTTCTCCCACACTTAGAAAAACATTCTTCTTTAATTGAAAAATTTAAATCTAAGTTCACATTATCATGTCTTTTGGAATCTTTTTCCTCATTTTAAGATTTTTCAAATTTTTTTCCTTTTATAATTCTAAGGCTTTTTATGTAGTATTTTAATACAATGGTAATTTTAGTCCAAAGGTTTGTATTTAAGTACAAAGCATAAAGATAAAACATAACTAAGCTTTTTAATCTTATCTGAAACTGTTTGTCAGTAGAAGCCGACAGTTTATGCGTCGGTGAGTAAATTAATTCCCGATTGTGGTTTTAATGTTGTAGCTTGTAAGGCTATTTTGGCGTGTAACTTTTTGGATCAAAGTAGTGAATTAGATTAAAAATATATTGTATGTAAGGATGTAGGTGTTTATTGTCAATTTATAGACATAGTAAGGTGTGTAGAAATTGTTGTAGGAATGGACTTGACGTCTACGATCAAACTAATTTTCGTTCCAAAAATTATAATGTCAGTTTATAATCATTTCGAAGTGGATAAGAGTAAGTAACATACCGAAGGGGTAGGCAAAAGTATACATTACGGTATTTATTGCCACTGTACAATGTAACACCCACTTTTCACTATTTATGTTATGAGTTCCATATAATAGGCCTATTGCTACATACCGGGCACAATTCCAGACTCCGTGCTACTACTGAGATGTTTTTTTAAACTCCGTAATACTTTGCCCGACTCAGAAATCAAACCCGAGACTCCTTGCCCGGCAGTCGCATTTGCGACCATTCGGCCAAAAAGGCAGTCTAATAAAATTTTAAATCTGTTATAAATTAAAGTGCGTACTTACGTAGTCTCTACACTAAAGTACCTAAGTATGTGTATAAATAAGTGGGAAGCAATTATCAACGCGTCATGTGGAATACTTAGCGACAACACTTAACGTAATGTTTTTATTGTCAAACATTAATGTGTGAGGGGAAACTGGTTTATGGAATCCCAACTAATGTTATAATATTATCAATGCGAAAGTACATTGTATATTTTAAACAAAATTATCAAAGAAGGGCCAAATTAAAAGTACCCTTAACCGACGAGCATGTATGAAAAGATGGATGACTGTTGATGAAGGGAAAGAGGTATGTAGGAATCGTAGTAATTGGCGTTCTCTAGTCTCTGCCTACCCCTAGACAGGCGTGAAGTTATGTATGTATGTATGTATGTAAGTATATTTGTTCGTTATAAACCTATACTAGCTGTACCCGCAACTTTGTCTGTATTTTTCCAAAATAAAAGTAGTCTCTGTTATCTGTAGTCAGTAACAGAGGCTACTTTTCGACTTTGATTGCCAGGTAGCTGATGTATTAGTGCATCAGTGTAAATTATAAATCTATTCCCCCCAAGTTTTGTATTATAACTTTCGTGAGACATACTAAATAAATTATTATGTTTTCGGCTTACTCACGTAATTATTTCGCGAAATGCTTCTCATGAATATGAGCCTCTAGCATAGCTTGAAACTAGTCGAGTTCCTCGTCAAACAATTACGTGAGTAAGCCGAAAACATAATAATTTACCTATTCCCCCACTTGGAGATAGCACTCGTGATCATTCAATCAACAAAACAGTTAATTTATAAATCACTCAATAAAAAAACAAATATTTATCCTAAACAAACTATGCAGATAATAATACTGTTTTAAAATAAAGCAGTATTTCAGTGTGCCCCTCGAGGTGGGAACATTTTCCGGGTCACTCCACTTATTTACAGAGTAAACAATAGGGTCCCTTTCCTTACCATTGGGTCTAGAATTTTATTCAAAATTTTACACTTAATAAATTTCATAATAAATTGTAGGTTTGTAGGTACAGATCTTCGGTACACAATGGAGTAGTTAAATGGGTTTATTTATATTTATTGTGGTTTACAGTTATTGCCATTGTGGTTGATAAAACCAAGGACGTTGAAAAAAAGATGGGGAAAATCATCGAATGGCTGCTCCCGCCTGGGTGAGGCAGGAGGGAGTGTCAGACTCTTACTGACTAAAAACCACCCCGTTCCTTCTCCTGCACGTCGAGCCGATGCCCCGGTAACCCGTTAGGTTCTCTGCGACAAGATGGCTACTATAGGCTTACAAATACACACACAGTGACACGAAGGACATCTGTCGCGTGGCATGGCCGTCATTACACTTCATACATTACAGTGTTACAAATATACGCATACATAAATACACTACTGACATTTTGATACTTCAACCAAGCAATAGGGAATGAGCTTATATCGAGCACATTTCTGAATTCCGTGCTACAACTGAGATTTTTTTAAAACCCAATAATACTTTGCCGGACCCGGGAATTGAACCCGAGACCCCTTGCCGGCAGCCGTACTTGCGACTACTGGGCTGACGAGCAGTCAATTGAAAATAGTACATTATTATTTTTTCAGTACCGTAGACACTTCAAAATCAAAATAGTAAAATAAATTCTAGCATTTCTTGCATTTGTATCATGTAAATACTGACAACACAACGTAAAGGAAAAAGAAGTATTTATTTTGTTTAAATAATAAAAGACAGTCGAACATCGATTTTGTTCAACCAAATTCGATATATCAACTCGTTCTTTCTGCCTTTTAATCCCTTGGAATCGAAATGTTATTTTTCTTTTGTAAAAACCTTTTTTCTTAGAAATACGAGAATCGGAGTAAAACGAAAATATCTGTTTTTATTATTATTGTTTGCGATTGAGTGATTTAGTAGTCGGTAATGCTGAATGTGTGTTTTTGAGATATATGATTGGGTACTTTGGTTTCATATTCTTAGTATACTTACCACAGATATAATAAATATTTCTGTGATACTTACTAACATACTAAGAATATTAAACTAAGTATATTACTTATTTGACATCACTCTTTAATTGTAAGAATTTAAATATGTAGTGATTTCAATAAATTGGGTAGGCAATATATCAATTAAATTATTGTCTGAATGCGTTCTGTATTTAAATAACAACAAGTCTGATTAATATTAACAAGAATATACAAGTGTTGTTTTAAAGCCGCGTCATTTTCTAGGATGTAACTCGGCTATCGATTCTGAGTCCGATTCAATAAAAAAATTGTAGGTAAATTTTTTTATCTTTAAATTACGGAAATCCGTAAGTGCGAACTACACGCCGCCGTCTTGTAACTAGCTTTTTAACGCGGCTTTACACACAAACTCAAACACGTAATTGATATTATTCCTAATTCCATAAAACTCCAATAAGAAACATTGCTGTTGCTTATTCTGAAATACTGCCGAATTTAAACGATTTATTATAGCCGTATTTTTAACTATTGGCCCAAAATTTGAAGAGATATGAGATAAATGCCACGGTTTCAAAACTACACCTTGTATAATTTTTAATCACTAAGTACCAAGCCTCCGAGCATAGCGATTATTGTATGAGAATTGAGAAGTTAAATGGTCATATTACCTTTTCCAGCATTTGATAAAGAGAAAATACTCTTCAATGATAACATTAAAAAATTCTATTAAAAAGCCAGGTAACAAAATGATCCATACCCTAAGACCAGCTACATTAGTACTATTTTGT